CCCCCACCCGCCCTCCCTCTCGGGTGGAACTGGTGCAAAGGAACGATAAGTCATTCCCCACCTATAAAAAAAATTTCAAAAAGTTTTACCCCCCCCCCCCCCCCCCACTGCTTAAAATTTGAGCCAAGACTTCTCAAGCAGGCATCTTCAGCTCAGCTCAGATCTAACAGCAACACAACCATTTATGCAGTGGCTGATTTCAGTGGGTGTCCTTCTCCATGAACTAATCCTTATAAATGTGAAATGACTGGTCGCTCTTTTCCCCCAGTTCCAGCTCACCACTCTGGAAGAAGCAGCAGTTTGCCCTGAGAGCAGGTAATTTTACTGCCGTGTCTCTGGGGTGATTGTAAAGCCACCCATTTCAGAGAAGGAAAAAATCCCACCCCAGTGAAGCTGATGGAAAGGTGGACTACCTTAGAGCAGTGACTCACAGAGAGACACAGCAGACATCCTCAGTGATAGGTAGTCTGGCTCACCAAAGTTTCTCTGTATGTGTGTGTGCGTGTTATGAACTGCTGAGGGCCTTTGCTATTGGATGGTATAGAAATGTAATAAATAAATAAGCAAGCAAGCAAGCAAGCATTTTGTGGATGATTGTACTTTTAGCAGCCTGCCAGCAGCTTTCTTCCAGCATGCCCTGGTACATACTTTTGGAATCATCACCATAATCAAAAGCCTGGGTGGCCAAAACACATCCAGTTGCCGGTCTTTAGTAGTAGCCATATCCCTTTCAACACCACATGTCCAATGTTCAAAGGATGAAAGTCTTAACACTTAGCCCTCTGAAACATCAGATGGTGTGATTTGAGTTCTCAAGCTAATCCTACTTCCCCTCTCAAGGTTACCACACAGTGCGTGTTAAGAGAATGCAATTTCTGGTACCTACATAATCTTGCAGATATGCATTAGCAGCTGGCCTTGTTCAATAAATCCCTAGATTGCAAAGGTGGTAGAGAGTTCCCTGTTTTTCTAACCACCTTTTAAAGCATTTGAAGTAGCACTTTTCACGGGAGAGCTCACTCAAAGCTTCTAACCAATTAATGCATCCAGTTTGGCTCCTCATCCCTGCATCGATCACATTCCAGTTCAGCTGATTCCAGGGTGTTCTTTCAGGAAATGTCAGTGCAGGACACAAGGAAGCTGCTAGCAACCTGTCCTCTCCCTCTTTGCATCTCCCCCCACCCCAATCCCAAGCACCCCCCTTCGCTGTGTGCCACAACTGCTTACTCCTAAAACAGAAAATCAAATGACACACGATAATTTGAGGGGACAACATAGGGTCATTCAGATTCCCAGCTCCAAGGGTGGAGACAGGGTTCTGACCCCAAGGCTGGGGCTGGAGCTCCAATGCCCCTTCCCTGTCCCCTTGCAGCCAGCATGGGAAGAAGTGTGCCGGCTGCTCTCCAAAGTCGGGAAATGAGCTTCAGAGAGGGAACGGAGGGAGGGATGGGGGGGGGGGGTAGAGGAAGAGACTGGCATGGTCAGCATGTGTGACCAACAGGGCAAGCTCATGCAGATTAATGGGGGGCTATTCAGAGAAAGTCAAGGATGGTACCCAATGGCTACCACCCAGCTCTGTGGAACAAGCTCAACAGGTTGCTAGCATGAGAGGAGACAAAACAAGCCTTCCAATCCACACACGGCAATAACCAGGAAGGGGGGGGGGAAATGAACAAGAATCCTTGTAATGTGGAAGCCCTCATGCTCCATGTACTTCATCTATTTCCCTAGTATAATATAGAATTTGTTTTCCTCATTATGTGCTTTTTGGGGAAGGGAGGAGAGAGGGAAAGATCAAGTAACTATTTGGTTCAAGAGCCCCTGTGCCTGAGGCGAGTGGAGATGGAGAGTCAAAAGCCCAGCGACAATATGTTGCAAACCTGGGGCACCAACTTTCATTCCCAGTTGCCAAGATGTGATTAGAGAAACTATTCCATTTTATTATCTCCATAAATTATGTTGGGCTGATAGTATGAATGTAGTAAGGGTAAAGGCAGGAGCAGCCGCAAACAGTTCTGGGGTGTCAGAAACTCTTTAGATGCCCACTTCTGATATATGGAAATGTATACTGTTGAAAAGTGTTTGGTGGATTTAGGGGAAAAATCAACAACTGCGATCCAGTATTTAGGGCTAGTCTCTGAATAACTAAAGGTTCCCCAGAAAACAAGTGAGCTTGCATTTGCATTACAAATAAACTTCCCTTTTATCACCAGCATTTCTCAAACACACACACACACACACAATTCCCATTAATTCATTTTCTCCTGTCTTTTTCATTGGACATCCATTTTGACATCTGAAGCTACTTGCAGTTTTCTTATGAAGTGTAATTGCTTTTTCTTGTTTGTTGTTTGTTTTGCAATGAAAAGAGATTTTTGCTTAGCTTGTAAGGAAGGAAGGGCAGATGGGCGGATGGAAGGAAGGCAGGAAGGAAGGAAGGAAGGCAGGCCAGCCAGCCAGCCAATTGAAAATAAAAGTAGAAATGAACAGAAAATATTCAGCAAGGTATGTGATTGAACAGTTGCACAATATGATGCTATTAATGGCACTTAAAGCTATAAGCACTTAAAATACTAGATCATGTTTTCTCACTGTTCTAGGGAGTTGCCTTAACCACCTAACCCTAACCATCAGTAAGGACACAGAGCCCTGAGAGCTGAAAGCTGTTCCGTCCCTTGAATTTGTATGGTATATGCACTTATGTCTACTTCTTTAAAAAAATTCAAAGTCTGCTACAGAAAATAGCAAACAGTTGACATCATGCAAAGGGTTTGCTTTCTGACTTCATAGTATTAAGCATTAAAACTGAAGCCCCTTCAGTGATACAAAGTGTGGATGCAAACATTTTAAAAATCAAGTGGCTCACTGCTTACTGAACCAAGCACAAGGTTATATATTTTTCCTCCCTTAAACAATGCAGCTTTTGAGTTTTAAAGTTTTTTTTTCCCCAGTGTATTATCAGTTTTATAACATGGATTTCTTCAAAGGATGTGAATTCCCCCCTTATTTTTCCCTTTTTAAATTTGTCATTTGTTATAAGAAACATTCACAAATATGGTGTTTTCTTGCATTTCCTTTTCTTTTTCCCGGAAAAAACATCTGCTCTGTCTTCGCCAATGTTTCCACAGCATCCGGGTTCTTTGTGCATGGGAGGTGGGGGGAAATATTGAAAGCTAATTTACCTATTTGTTTCTTTTCATAGAAACTGAGGGAAAACAATCATATTTGGATTCTATGCTAAACCATAAACACTGCCTTATTTTAAAGTTGACCATTCACCCCGTTATTTTGCCTTTTAATGAAAAGAATTCAGCAGTGAAAGAAGGAGCTTGTGATCCATTGAAAGTGGGTTGTTCTTTTCTCACTGCCCCTAAATGCTCTTCTAAGCTGTCTGTCTCTGCTCTCACATTCCTGCCCTGCTATTCACCTTCACAGCTGTAACACCCTGGCACCTGTTGAGTTTTCCGTGATAAGTGTAACTAGGTTGGTGCTGCCAATATTCCACCTTCAGGTGCCATTACTCCAGTGCTTGCCTTGTGATTTCTCCTGGCAGAGAGTGCTTCGGTCATTATGGCACAGTGAAAGATTCTAGGATGCTATGTAATTCAGACTGAATCAGGAGTCTGTATAAGGCACGTGTCTTGATACATATATCTATCTATATCTATATATATCATGTACATATACAAAAGACTAACATTGGTTCATTAGAGTCAACGAGCAGTTGGGGTTTTCTGCATTTAATTCCTGTCTTCAAGTAATGATTTGCTTTCCTGTTCCCTTTCTTTGGTTTCGGTGGGGATCATGCCGTTCTCCAGGTCCATGTGCTGCTCAATACAGTCGGTGAGAACAGCAGTACTTGAATGCTCTGAGGGACACACCTTCTCAGTATCCTCCTCTTTCTTCTCTTCGTCCAAGGAATAGTTCCGGAAGGTCTCGTAGATTTTCCGCACATCTTCTGGGATGCTCTTTTTCAGGTCTTTGTTTTTCCTCTTGGTCAACCTGGATGTAGAGCCAAACTTGTTGATGATGTTGTCCTCGGATGCCCCCTGCCCATGCTTGCTCAGCTGCTCGGTCCCTTTAAGGCGTAGGTTGTTAGGTTTGTTGTTGATGCTTTCCTGAGATGAAGCCTTGAAGTGGCTGCTGTCCAAGGCAGCAAAGACGCAGCGTTTCTCTGGGGAGAGCATATCCAGTGAGTGAGCTCTCTGGTCCAGCCCTAGACGCCGGCGCTCCATGCTCCGAATGGTGGCTGCTCTCTGGAGCTTGTCATGGATTTCCACGCTCAGCCGCCGCCGAGTTTCCCTGAACTCTGCAGTCACATTGGCTTTCCATTCAGCTGCATGGGCTTTGATTTCACCAACCTGTGGACGGGATTACAAAAGTCAAGGAAAGCTGAGGAAACCACAGGAGATACTTCTTATCTGTCTACCATCTATCTACCTATATTTCATTACTATAACAAATTTTAATAAAATAAATCTCAGTTGTACATCATTTTTCTAAAGCCCTACAATTACTAGTTTATTCAGTTGCTCTCCAAAAGTGTCTTGTCATATCCCTATGTTGCATTCATGCCATTTAAAGTAATGGATTTAGAGCTAAATGAAAACAACACTGGCCAAATACCTCCTTTCACACAAACTATTAAGGCATAGGAGCTCCCTTTGAGACCAATTGATACAAAGCTACAGAGTATGATTACAGCTGAATCCTAAAAATGATGACTAGTGTGCCAAGCTTAACTAAAAATGAGAAGAATAAGTATGAGGATGAGAAGGAGCTAGGTTTAAGATTTCAGCACTAAATAGTGATCCTTCACAATATGCTAGTTGGTGTTCCTCAACTGGCAAGTTTGCACAGCTTAAATATATATAACCCTTCTTTCTTACTTTTTCATGATAACAGTTTGATCATCAAAGTGCTTTCAGAGTAAATCAATTCGACACTCCTTTTCCTTCATAGGATCAATATTCCTGCTTTACAAAGTGCCACCAGAAAGAATGTTGAAGAGTAATTTAAACATATTTGATGGGGAAGTCCATCTCTGTCTCCCAGCCTTTTTGGCCATTTGATGGAGCCTTCCACAGACTGCACCTGGACTTTAGAATCATCTTCTGAAGAAGGCCTCGTTGTTTCCCCCTGCCTCCTCCCACATCTCCTGTCCTCCTCCTTAGAAACTTTTTATTTGGATAGGTTTTTTCTCTTTGCTTGCTTAGAAATTTGTGATACTGATCTAGTTGTTTTTTTGTCTATGTGTGTTTTAAATCTGCCCAGGCTTGTTTGTTTAATTTCTATACTGCTTGTTAGTCAAGATGACATTCTGGATGGTTTACACAATCAACACACACAAATACAGAGCAATGGATTCAAAACAAGTTGTCCCTATTTTATCATTAAAATACAGTTTATTTTGTTCTTAAATATAAACACACTTTTTAAAAGATGGGGGCACACCTTCTAAAAAAGCCCCCAAACGACCGTAGATCCAACCCGCTCTGAGATCCATCAGTTAACAGTAGTTACCTCCTCTTTTGTCTTCTTTGAAAGAACCCGTAGCCAATCTCCAATCATACTGAGGACCGCAGCAAAGTATGCAAGACCCACAAGGATCCAGAACCATACCAAGGGCTTATACCACTCCCGGTAAGGGATCTCAGCATTTCCACCTGAGGCAAAATGAAACAAAACAAAGCAACCCCTGGTTCATACTTGAAATCTTTGTTGTCGTTAGTCGCGAAGTCATTTCGGACACATCGCGACCCCATGGATATCATTCCTCCAGGCACAATATTCCTCCAGGCACTTGAAATCTATTAGATAAGTTATTGCTATCACAAGCTATCCCAACCTTGTTCCCTCCAGATGTTCTATGATACCACCCAGCATCCTTATTCATTTGTCATGGGCCTGGTAGGGGTCCAAAACTTCTGGAGAGCCCCACATGGGCGAAGCCTGGGCTGAGGGTCCTGCTATGCTTCATCATTTGCATATATGTATTCAATAAGTTCAATAACTGTAGATACCATGAGCCACATTAAAAATATACCTAAAAGGCTTACAAGAACATTAACTATATTACATTAAATATACATTACAATACACATTAAAAAGTAGTTAAATATATAATTGTTCAACAATGATATAAAGCATTAATGAAACATTAAAACCAATATAGCCCCTTAATTAGTAAACTGAGCAGTACACTTGTTCTTTCATCAGCCTACATTGCTTCCAAAAACTGCAGAGAAAAAAGCAGCAGCTCATTATGGTGAGCAGATCACCCCTTGGTGATCCAGTTGTGTTTCCATGATCTTGTTTTCAGCCCTAAGGTAAGGCTGTTGCTTTACCATAAGGGGGCAGCCGCCGGGGCGAGGGGAAGCGATTCCTTGAGGAAGCAACCACTGTGCTGCCACTGAGTTCTGCTGGTGAACTGGGGACAGAAGGGTGGTTCCAGGAGCACAGGTGCTTTCCTTCTAGTATACTTGTCCTCTCCACTGAAAGAGGGGCAGCTGCTTCCCACAGCCTTTCAGGCAGCCTTTGCACAGCTAGAGAGTTGCAGCCTTATGATCCTTAGCAGCAAACTTTACCGGTTCTCGAAATGTTATTTATGATTGAAGCCTTCAGTTAGGAAAGGTCCATTTGCTATGGCCTAAAGTGCCTCCTTCTTTTCCCAGCCAACAATATTGCAGAAATTAGCCCTCTATAACTCATTTCCTCAACCCATTTCTTCCAGGCCAATGGCATTAAAACAGCAGCAACTGTGTCCTTTAAAAGCAGTTTTGTCGTTATGCCATCTCTGACTTACGACAACCCTCTGAATGAATGCCCTCCAAACCTCCCTGTCCTTGGCAGCCATGTAAACTTTACAAGCTCTTGTAATCTTACAATCAGTTGGTAAGACCCAAACTCCAGCAGCCTGCACATTGTAGGTACTGAAAAAGAAATTAAATATGTAGATACAGAAACATAGGCAAAGGCATAAATGAAATAAGGTCTTTCAAATAATTGAATTTGGGCCTTTGATTATTCATTTCTTGTATGTAGCCATAACATTCTCACCATTTCCTTGTTCATTCTTAAAAATGCCTATAAGAGGTAATCATACAAGGTTTTTTCACACCAATGTTTAAAGTTCAGGAAAATCAATATCAAGACCAAGTTGAAATATTTTCCTATATCCTGCTAGCTTTTAAATGTAAGGAACTTGCAAGGCAACATTTTAAAGCCTCTTTTTCTATACTTTTAAAAGTTAATTTTGAGAAAGGCCAACAAACAGTACAATCCTTTGCATCTACTTAGAAAAATGCCCTACTGAGTTATGAGGATTTAGTCCAAGGTAAAGGTATACAGGATTGCATATATTTACCTGGACTACATCCAACTTCTGAATAGACATGCATAGGATTGCACTGTAAAAGTCATTCATTTGGAAAGAGCTGCGGGGAGAACTGAGGATTTTTATTTCCGTACCATGGCTCAGTCTTCCCTCCATCACCTGCTGAGCTTTTGCACTTTTACAAGCTGTTAGCAATCTGAAACATTCCAAGGAACCCTTAAAGTGCAATCTACCCAGCCTTTATATGAGTATTCTTACCATGATGAAAGACTCATATAAAAACCAAAGCATAATGTTACTGGCAGAGACCCAAATATTGTTTCTGATTCTCTCAGTGTGTCCCTATAGCTTTATGGCTTTTTTCAAGGTAAGAAAAGGACAAGCAGTTGTGCTCTGGTTGCTATGATTGCAGAGAGGTTATTCTGATCACACAGGTCCCAGTGGGAAATTACCTTAAAGCAGATAAAGGTGGTCTGTGGCACAGATGAAGCAGACAGCACCAGGCATGTGCTAATGCTTTTTCCCATCTGTTCCATTTTCTCTGTCTTTCTGCCACCTTTCTTCCCTCCCCCACCCCGAACTTGCATCTAATTTATTGGCAGTACAACTTCTTTTCCAAATTAATAAAGACAATTTGGATAACACAATTGTAAATCAACATTAGTGGTGTACCATCCATATTTTACAAACAGATTTTTTTCCAAGGAAGATCAAAGGCAGAGCCGTGGGAAGATCGGTCAACCAAGTCATGAGTCTGACGAGCCCTTTTTCACAACTGGTCTGAAATGGTGAACTCTTTTGCCCTTGAAATCCAAACCCATTAGGAAGGTGGAACCGTCTCCTAAATAAATTTCAGCTTTACCACTTATATCAGAGATAGGGCCTGGTTCACCAGTAGCCAAAATGTGAAGCAAAGGCTGCATTCACTGCTTTCAGATTCCCATTAATATGTGGGGCATCAGCCCAGCCCCTTGTCACCACTCAGACCACGCAAGAGAGGAGAGCAAGGATGCTCCAGAAGAAACACACACGCTTCTTTTGCCAGGCACTCCACCTGCGCTCTTATGCAGGTTAATATGTAACTCGGTTAGACATGTTTCTTTTCATTTGGAAGTCTGTGCATGACTTTGCATAAAAAGAGCCATTTCCCATTCCCTGTTGCTGTGTATCCTCCATTCTTGATTTATCTTATTTATTTTGATATTCATCTCACTATATTACTATACTATTATATTATTTACTACACTATACTAAAATTACTAGACTGTATTGCTATTATTGTTATTACAGGTTTTATTGTGAATTGTTTTAATTGTCTTGCATATATTGTGAGCTGTTCAGACAGCCTAATGGTTAATGGGGTGGCATGCAAATTGAATGAATGGATAAATAAGGAAAGAAACCCTGGCATGCCCCTGAAATGAATGGGTGATCAGCACCTTGTACCCAGTAAAAGACCATCTTTGGGTCTGGCTGGAAGATTCTGGGAGCTGCAGTGCAACACACTGAGGATGGCAGGCTGGGGAAGGCTTGCCTAGCGGTTATCCAAATGCCTGCAGGAAGCCCACAACCAGCGTAGAGCCCTCCCACACCAGCTGATACAATCACTCTGTGTTCAGCTCACCTCAAGCAGCTTCCCTTCCTCCAGCACCCTCCTCTCTTCAACCTCCAACCCAGAATGATACCTTTGCTTATTGGTAATTGGCAGGCACAGATGTTTATGGCTCAGCCGCACTGTGCGCTCATCCCCGCAAGCACGGAGCATCCGCACTGCACATGCTTCATTAGTCTTTCGCATCCAGCGCTGGGTCTCCTTAATGGTGCAGATGCCAGGCCAACAACTCTATTAAGGCATGAGAGCATAATTGGCTGGCTGGCTGGCTCTTGAAAAGCGGCTGCCCATTTGATCTGAAATATGTGTGCCCCTTTTGCAAAGGCTGTGGAGGTTTGGACTGACAGCTATTATTTATACTTGTTATTTCTTTTCCACTTTAAGAAACAAAAACAAAGCATTCCTCTTGTCTTCTGAAAGGAGGTTGTTATCAGGAAACACTGTGCATGGAACAGAGAAGCTACATTCCCTTGTGTGCCTCATTTAGATGCTAGAGAGTGAGGGTATGGGATACTGTGGGACCACACAATACTATTTTGCCAACTGATTAGGCGACCCTGAGGTTGCTTGTTCATTTCTTGGGCATGTTGCAAAGTTCCCTTTCCTCTCCAGATCAAAGCCACTTTCTTTCACTGGCTGCTGCTTCTCCTCTCTTCAGAGTAGAGGGGGGAAATCTGCAAATGACTCCCTTTCCATCTTAGGCTCAAATCCAACAGAAACAGCTGCACATGCACAATACAGATGAATTTTCAACCAATGTACACCTCTCGAGACTTTAAGTGAACTGAGAGAGAATTGCATGGACAAATCCACATTATTCCTAGCTTTGAATACAGCTTATCTTGGGGAAAAATGCAGACAAAATTGCATATTAGGAGAATGTGCATTCAAAACGAGATCCAGTGTGGCATGGTGGTTAGATTGTTGGAATGGGAACCCAGGTCCTGGGTTGTAGTCTCCACTCAGCCATGAAACCACTGGGTGACTTTGGGCCAGTCACGCACTCTTGGCCTATCCTACCTCACAGGGTTGTTATTGTGAGCAAAAAATGTAACTGTGTATGCCTCAGGTTGTCCACAAGAGGAAAAAAGGTGGGATATAGATACAATGTAATGATGATAATAATATATTTGAGAAAAGTATACACAAAGCTGCATTAAAACACTGGAAAGAACTGGAGGGAGGAGAATACATCTCTTTAAATGGGGTACATTTTAAAAAGTGCACACAAAAATACACATTTCCACATGGGAGAAGCATATCTTAACATTTGCCTTCACAAGTCCAAGACTGATGAATCATCCATCCCTAATGTGCAGTCCTTTAGATTTTTAAAATCCTGCCAACTAGCTGCTTGGGGAAGAAAAGGGAAGCATGGGAGAACTATACCCCATCCCTCTTCCTCCTCCCCAACAGTCAATTGGTAGGACTTTGGTGTCTGTGATGGCTCTGCACAGCCCAGCTGCCAGATGAGAGGAAAGCTACTGAAGATCCTGGGACATGTGGACCAAGGAAGCAGGATGCAGGGGTCATATTCCCTGACAATAGTGAGGCAACTTACCAGCTTCAGCTGCAGAAGATTGTCTTGACCTGATCTGTGCCTCAGCAGTTCCTTATAATGACCAGAAAGGGTACTGCAACTCATCAAACTGGCCAGCGCAACTGACCTGAGAAACCAATGACACACCTTTCTGGTACTATATAATCACCATGCCAGGTGCAGCCTTGCCTCTCAGATCTGGGGCAAAATCTGCCTGGGTCCCAATCCCTCCATCCAGGTTTTCCCCAGAGGCCAGGCTCCTTCTTCACATCACTAGCTGGTTCCCGCACAACCATCATTTTGGTGGATTTGCAGCTTTTTCACATTTTTCCCATTCAGAAAGGCTGAAATGCCCTGCCTGAGCCTGACAGTAACAGTGTTAAGCTAAACTAGGGCATGTCTTTCCTTCCAGCCTCACACTCTTTTGCCTTCGCTTCTGCCCCTTTCACTCTCGGCCCTGCTCACTACTGGAATATGCCCCATGGTCTTCCCCAAAACAAAATCTGGCCTACAGGCTAAAAGAAGTTCTGCACCTGTGCTTTATCCGCTCTCTGACCACCAGCCCATGTCCCTCACCTCTCTGTCCCAGAAACAGATCACATCTTCAGCCTGTCCTGAAGCATGGCTGAGCTCTGATCCCTGAACCCCACAACCATCTGCAGATACAGCCCCAGCTGAGAATATGGCAGTGTGAAGCACCGACTGGCCTTATTTGGATTGCACTGCAGCTATATTTGGTTATCAGAAACACATTTATTTGGACGTAAGTAATTAACAATGTGGAATTCGAGAGGACATTCATCTTCTTTTCTGCACGGAATGCTCAAACAGGCCTCGGCTAAGGCTGAATGTCTCACCTGCCACAAAATCCCCAAAGCCAACCGTGGTCAGGGTGACGACTACAAAGTAAAAGGAGTCCAGAGCGGACCATTCTTCAATATATTTGAAACTGACTGCTGGAATGGTGACAAAAACGACACAGCCAGCCAGGATAAAAAGAATGGTTGAGATCACCCGGATCTTTGTCTGACTCACTTGCTTCTTCTGCAAAAGAAAATGAGAGAGAACAAACACTGTTGGTATTTTTTGCACTTCTGTTCCCTGTAACAACACACTTTATGTCTCTCACCTTGCTCCCTGTCAGCATGTGCATATGACTCTACCAATTTTAGGCAGATGCTTCATTTGTCAGATAATGTGGGCAGTGTCTTCAAATGCTTAGGTCAAAATAAATGCATTAGTTTTGCAGGTACATGAGGATGTTATTGCTGTTGCAACAGACTACCACAACTGCCAATCTGGCATATGTTCGTTCTTTATAATTCTTAACAAACCGTTTCCTGAAAACTAGCATACAAGGAACCTGGGAGCATCAAACAGACAAACATCAATCTAATTAATGTAGAATATGTGAGCACAAATGCAGGTCTGAGCCTCTTGGGATGGATTCTGATGCAATTTCTGGTGGTCAGACCACAGACGTGGACTGCCCACATATTTGCCACAGCCACCTACCTGTCTGATAGGAACACAGGAAGTTCCTAAGTTAATAAGTCAGCCCATTCATCCATCTAAGCCAGTACTGGTGAGACAGGAAAGCAGGAGCTCTGCAGGGTGTCGGGAAAGAGCTTTTCTGTCCTACCTGTGGATGCTGGGGATTGAATTGGGGACCACCTGCTTGGAAACCAGGTACAGCCCCTTGACTTTGATCTTGTTGAAGCTATTGACAGTCATTTTGGCAGAAGACTGGGTTGTACTGGCTATTGATGGACAACTTAAGGCATTAGAGTACCCTTGGCCAGAGACACACCCACAATGAAATGAATAAAGTGTTTCTGAATGTGTGTGCTACAGTAGTACACAGCCAACAAGTTTACTTGTAAAAAATGCACCAAACCAGGTGACTTGCTCATTGCTGATGGGCTCAGTCCAGCAAGACGGTACTTCCTCTGATCACCCACTAAATGGAGGGTGGGAAAGGGGAAACGTCCAGAGAGTATACAGGAAGCAAATACCCTTCACTGCTTACTCAAGTTGAGATTTCCGAGACAATTTTTTTACTGAGACTGGCCTGGTACCAAGCTTGATTCATGTCAGTGTTACACAAAGACCTTTCCATTTGCCTGGGCATTTTACCATCTAGTCTGTGCTGGCTGATTGCTATTATCCATGCTCCATCCATTCTGCTGGATTCAACAGTTTGATTTTTAGTCCCTGTTTCTGCTGCTTTATTTTATCTTGCAGTATGTTCATTATAGTTATTAGCTTCATGTTAAACCCTAAGACTTTTTACTGAAGGGTGATGTAGAAATATCCTAATGTTACAGGCTGATCAGGCTGGAATCACTATTTAAATGCACAAGAATATTATGGGGAGATGGATATAGCCTGCCTTTTCTATAATACCTCTAGGCCAGTTATACAGGGCTACCATCAGCTGTAGAATGAAAGAGAGAATTAAGTTTGTAGCCATATTCATTTCCATGAGAGAGATTTAACATTTTCAACTTCCTCATCAAAAACAACAGGATTTCAAAATGCATAGTATTGGCTGAATTGTGGTCTGCTTGCCACTGAGACAAAAATACTACACCTGGTCTGTACCATTTCAGACTACAAGCACATCTTAAGAAATGCACTTTATTTTTAAAAAGACAATCCATACATATGAAAAACTAACATGCTCTTCACATAATCAGCAATCACTTAAAATAATATAAGCATCAAGCATCATATAAAATAATCTTTAACAGATAAATATCCAAGCAAATGTATCATGGAAAAAGGCAATTTTAAAACATCGCACTGTCATTAGAAATAAAACCAAGCAGCAGTTTTTAAAAACTGTTCAAAGGCTTGGAAGAATGAAAAAGTCTTTGGCTGACACCAGAATGCAGTAAAGGAAGCACCTGGGAAAGAGCACACTCCATAATTTGGGTCTACAGAATAAAATAAAAAATAAAAAAGATGGGCAATATAGCCCAAGAACATCTGGAGGACCAGAGCTTGCCCACTTCCTGACATCGACCTGAGAATCAGGCCTGCGTCCCTTGTGTTCCATAAGCTTTTCAAACTAGGTATGTGCTTTTTATGCAGAGCCATGATCTCATTTCAGATTAGATCATCTAGAAAGGAAATAAGGTTTCAGAAAACTCTCTTTACCCTATTCCCTACTGAAATGCCATCTGTGAACTGGGCAGTAACCAATCCAATGAACATCCCCATTACTCTTGACTGAAGAAGCTGAAACTGCATTTCCTCAATTCCGAAAAGGTCACTTGGCTGTGAAATGTTGCAGGCAACTGCCAGGTAGCAGCTTGGGGTATGAGAAGGGTGGGAGGAATCCCACAGGTGTCGGCAGCTCATTTTGCCCCTCAAGATACTATTGCCTCCCCGTAACTGCCAGGCCTCTTTGCCTGCTCTGTATCTATTTTGAAGAAATAGCAGCAAATGATTAGAAGAAAAATAATGCATCAAACACAATCTAGCAAGCTTAAGGCACAAAAAAGTATGTGTGCATGCACACACACAAATGTGCAGCACACGAGTATTAAGCAGTCTGATTTGAACATATTCGACCAATGCTTTGTAAGCTCCACTGGCACTTTTTCAGTCCACCTCTTCAGCTCTTGGGTAGTATAGAAATGAATTTATTATTATCATTACTACTATTACTATTTCTGTGTCTAATTTAAAGTGCAAGGGTGCAGAACCTCATTCAGCACAAGAACTGAAGGTTTAAGGAGCCACTTCCCAGTGGCATGTGGGGCTGGAAGAAAAGGGGGCAGGCCCAAAGTACCCCCAATGCCAGAATATTTTAGATGAAAGCTCTTGCTGCCTCTGATTGCCACCTCTGAGGGCAGGTGGCTTAGTGAAAGCAAAGGGCTTCTCAGTGGTGGCCCCCCAGTGATGGAACAGGCTTCCCCCTGAGGCATGCCTGGCCCCAAGTCTATTGTCTTTTTGGCACCAGGTTACAACTGTTCTGAATGGCAGGGCATTCAATTCATTCCAATATTCTATAGTGCCATTATTTCAGCTGCTTAACAGGTTTTGTGATTTAGTCTATGTACTTTATTGTTGCATTTATATTTGGTTTTAAATTTTGTATTATTTTGCATATTTGTATTTTGTATTGTGATTTTATGTCGATATTGTTATCTATATATTATATTTCATTGTATTTTATGTGCCATTGTAAACTGCTCAGAGAGCTTTGGCTATTAGGCAGTATAGATATAATAATAATAACAGTGATAGAAAGGGAAACGCCAACCCTGCCCAGCCCACAACTCATGGCCTCCTTGGGGCCAAACAAAACATTTGCCAGATCATGCATAGCAGAACTGTTGCATTCTAACCTTATACTACAATATAGTTGTATGGTATTCCAATTTAATATGGATTAGTGTTCACCTAATCATGCATAGTGGAGTTATAGTGTTCCCTACCATCCTGCACATGACATTAATTCACGTAGGGTCCATGCCACTTTTGGAAAGGAGGTCTTAAACATGGAGGTCCCCATGCCACTGGCCTATGTTTCCCTAACCCGCTGTACCTCACCTCACTGTCACTCCCAGGGCTGCAGGAAACAAGATTGTGTCTTACACAGACGGGAGCTCCAGGACTCTTGGCAAAGCGTCTGGCCAGATGCCTGGCAGTCTACTAAGGAGGAAGGGGAAGGAATCACCTGCCTCCATCTGAGCCTGGCTGAGGAGCAGAAAGGACGGAGCCTCCAGCTCCTGCATGAACTCTCTGTGGGAACCGCCCAAGAGGAAGATGCTTTGCACCTGAGGCCCTTCAGGCCACAGTACTAGGACCACAGAAGCATGTGAGCTCCTACCCAGAACGTACAAGTAGGAGGTGCCAACATTATTATACATCCCGACCCCCAGAAGGAACATGACAGCTCAAGGATACAGGAGTTAGTAAACCACATATCTAGCTTTCCTCAAGCTGGTATCCTCCAGATGTGTTGAATACTTGCACATATTCACTGAAGAATCAAACCAAACATTCTTTCAAAGTGGATAAAAGGATGTGAAAAAATAGTCTGAAAAGGAGTTTATTTCTAACAAGGATGTGGCTGCCCGGGATTTATCTTGTCTCTGTGCAGCTATTGGCTTTGCTCATCTAAAGAAACTGACAATGCAGCCTAAGCACTAGGCTATGAGGCAAATATTACAGCATAAAATTGATTGTGCTTTCAAAATGCTATGACTGCAGTTGCTATAAATCTCACAAGTTTGCATCTTTTCCAGGAGTAACCTCTCAGCTCCCTTTTTCCTCTTCAAGACTCTGGTGCATATTGGGGAACACAAACATGGAGCTGGAAGCACTGGTTCTGGCTAGCGTACCATGGATTTAATGGGCATGCCCCTGACACCTTGGCTCAAGAATACATTTGGTTTCAGAAAGCAAAGCATGGGAGCTGCCAGGAGTGCGATTACATCTCCAGAGCCCCTGCAGAAATAAAGGAACCACAGAAAGCATGGGCCTCTTCTCTGATCAAATTAGGGGCAATCCTGTGCATGTTTAGATAGAAACACCTCCTACAACTCCCTGCATGGCTGGCTGAGGAACGCTGGGTCTTGTAGGACTCTTTCTGTCTGAACATGCATCGGAAGGCGTGTTTAAAGAAAGCTGTTGCCCTTATCTGAAGAAAGGGTCTGCTTGACTGCTCTGTCTCCCACCACCAGCCAACCACTCAAAAATCCTAAAGCGTGTCGACTGCCCAAAGGGGCAGCCCGGTCAAACAACAACCTGAGTTAATTTCACCTTTTTGCTTTGAAGGCTAAATTATACTACTCTGTATGACAATGGTGTCTTTTATTAAATAGAAGTGTGGGAGAGATTCTTTTTTGCAAATTATCCCTTCCCTATACTGCCGAGGGTGCCCCTCCAAACCAGGGGAAAGGGGGTCCTGGGGTGGCACCATAAGAAGACATTTGGGGAAATCATCGCTCAACCTCCAGCTCCTTCTGTTCACAAAGACCCCTGCTGAGTCAAATAGACTTTCACAAAGACTTTCAGGATAAGTACTT